GGGTAATTCATACTTTTTCCAATTCTTTTTTACCAAAAACTATATAGAGGTAGGTAGTTAAGGTTATGTAAGGACTAAGGACCCATAAACCTTGACCCATTACCCCCCTAGTTACAATTGTGGTTGTGGCTAGCAGAAAGCTCAATCAATCCCCATAGACTAATATAATATCGACAACTTTTATCACATCTTCTTGTTTTTGCATGCACGCATACAGAAGGCAATGCCGAGCAGAGATAAGACGAGCAATATCTACTGCAGGAAGACAATGCCTGGAAATAAATTTTATGCTGTTTTTTGGGTGCAGCTTGTCGTTGGTTCCAGTTCCTGTATCTGTATGCCTGCAAAATAAGCAAGCTGTGTGCCAATCCCAAATGCATGACTTGGAGGCAGTAGTTTTCTTCCTCCATGTCCACCGAGGCCTCATTCGGCATGGGCCAAGCCCTGGCCATTCCCCGGGATTAATTTGGCCCATACCAAGTCTGCAACCAGGGTATTACTGTTACCCCATCCGTTTTATATTGTAAATCGTTTTGTTTTTTTTCATAGTATTGAAAAATTTAGTTTTGTGTTGAAAATTTTGCTATATTTTTTTATGAACTTATCGAAATTAAAAATATTTGAGTAAAATAAAAATTAAAATGATTTAATATGAAATAGTTGTAGATAGACTATCCGTCCGTCCGTTTATAATAGGATAACGAATGGTGGAGTACGTAGTATAGTAACAAAAAGAAAATAGTAACTGTACTAGCTAGTGTACATATATGTACACTCCTAATAGTACGATCGTACAGCAAACGGTTGTAACGAACAAATATAATAACAGAGGTTTAACTTGAAGTTAAACTCTTACTGACAAGGAACAGAGGTTTAACAAATATAATATATACGTGTGATTACTTGTGTCTGTGACTATGATCATCTGGTCAAATACTAGTATACTTGCGCAATACGAGAACAGATTTTGCATTGCAAGTTCGCAAATTGCCACACGCAAGCTTAATAGTAATATAATAAGATCGCCGATTTCTTCAGGATGCCGATGCGTGTCAGTCATTCCCTTTTATAAAAAAAAGGGGGCAAATTATTGGGCGAATTGGTAGTACACGAAATATAGACTCAGGGGTGTTTTATTCCAACGGCAATTTTTCTCCCGTCGCATCGAACATTTAAACACATATACGGAGTATTAAATATTTACGAAAAAAACTAATTACATAGTTTGCGTATAAATTGCGAGATGAATCTTTTAAGCCTAATTACGTCATGATATGACAATAAATATTTGTTAATGACGGATTAATTATGCTTAATAAATTTGTTTCGCAATTTACATGCGGAATATGTAATTTATTTTGTTATTAGTCTACATTTAATACTTCAAATGAAATGTGTGTTCGTATATTTGATGTGACTCACCAAATTTTTTTTGCCGTGGAACTAAACACAGCCGGCCTGTGCCTGTGCTCCCTTCCCTGGATCTTCCATGTCTCTTGCCCTCTTTCGACCGCTCGAAAAATAGGTGTTCACTACCAGAGAAACTATTTTTAGTACCTACCAACAGGTACTAAAGATGCCTCCAAGGTTATTCAAAAGAAAATATCTTAATCCAAGTTAGATGTGTATAGTAAGTGAGATGATAACTCGTGTAAAGGTTGAGGTGGGAGATCTTTAGTTTGAATCTCACATCTTACATATTTTTTTTTGACTTAATATGTTTGTTTAGTACCAGTTCAGATCGAGATCTTTAGTCTTGATTTACTAGTCTCGTTTGCTACAACCTGCTACAACTGGTACTAAAAAGTTTTTAACATCCTGCAGTGGTTGTTTGCTTCAATTGCCTAAAGAAAATAATGGACATGTTTGATCGTATTGTTAAGTCAATATATGTGCATTTCTGGAACTCCTGGAGTGTGGAAATAAGGTAAATAGTGGGGTGAAAAGAGCCCATATGTAAGTTGAAATATGTCAAAAAGTGGTAGGGGAAATGAGTGGATGATAATATTCTTGCTTTAAAAATTCTGTTGCTGCGAAGTGAGCGTAACTCAACTGATTAGATTTCTTGTGGTGAAACCAGTTCATGTGGGTTCAAATTCTACATTTAACACGGATGCTCGTATTTACGAATAGTTAAGCTTAATCTTTTAGAGGTGCTCATAGAGGTAACATGTGTGCGTGTTCAAATAGATGAGTGTGTCTGCGTTGTGAGCGCGGATGGTACTGACCTGGGTGCTTAACAGGCTTGCGATGCCGCCACTGCTGATTTTGAAGCTCAACTTGTCGACACTGTGGACATGAGTGTGAAGAATTTGGGATCTTGAAGATGAGAACAAGCAGATGGGAGAAGAAAATATTAGCAAGAGACTACTTTAAACCATACCATTGTTTAATAAAATTGATAAACATATAATAGGCATTTAGATTGTTACCGTATATTAGCCATGTCTACAAAATTTGACAACATCACATTTAGCCTATTTTTACTAAAACTTAGTAACGTTGTCAACTTGTCAAAATTTTGGTAATGCCAAATTTTGAAAATGTTGAAAATAGCTATAAAATGAATAAGCCCTAAATAAATTTATTGAATAAGACGAATGGTTAAATATATATAAAGAAAAGTTAATAGTGTCAGAAACAGAACGGCGGCAGCACACGTTGCGGGGGAAAAAAGAGGATAAGCGGGAGGATTACCGTTGCAGTTTCTGACGTGAATCTCAGCTGACCTTTGGACGGCTAAAAGTCAGCTGAGATTTGTCGTAATACCTCCGTTCCATTTAAATTCCATTTTAAATATAGTTTAAAATAGTTGTAAGTTTTTTTTAATATTTGACTTCATATCTTATTCATATTTTATCGTCTAATAACGATATAATACTAATCATATTTTTTAAAAAACTAAAACAAACGGTCAAATATTGAGCATTGAAACCAATAATTGTATTTAAAATATATTTAAAATGGGATAGAGGAAGTACTCTCTCCGTCTTAGAATATTGCAACCTAGGACCGGACCGAATGTGATGTATCCTAACACTACGAAAATGGACATCCTCCGTCTAGATTCGTAGTACTAAGATACATCATATCCGATCCTAGGTTGTAATATTGTGGGATGGAGGAAATATTAAATAATGCAATGGGAAACTAGACAACCTCTGCAAGGAAAAAGTACACCGAAGAACAACCACAAAATCAGATATATGACATTTCTCAACTTACGAAATCGTTCACTTTAGGTTCTTAGGTGGTTTTGACCCGGATTTTATCCGACGTGGCAGCTGAATCAGCATAGTACCACATGCCAGGATGCCACGTCACCACCCTCTCTCTTTCCCATCCTCTCCCTTCCTCCTCTCTCTCTCTCTCTCACTCTCACTTTTCTCCTCTCTAGGCAGGGCGGCCAGCGGGTAGGGTGGAGGTCGTCGGGGCGAGGCGGGAGAGGAGGTCCGGGGGTACGGTGACGTGGGAGAAGGTTAGGGTGGCGACGGCGGGAGCACGGGGGGAGATCGAAGAGGACAGGGGGAGCACGGTGGCCTCAGGTCTCCCCTAGCCTCAGCCCGTCTTCGCCACCGAGCACTGTCACCGCTCTTCTCCCATACTGGCCACCGGCCGCGCCGTGTGCCTCCGGTCTCCCCCGGCCACCGTCCGTCTTCACCACCAAGCGTCGTTGTCGCGCTTCTCCCTTGTTGGCGGATAGACGCACCGCGCGCCTCCAGTTATCCTCCGGCCGCCGAGGAGATGGGTCACGGCCTGGACCTGGAGGGGATTACCCCGCTCATGGACATGGTGCTCGGGTTCTTCTACTTGTCCATCCCCGAGCCGCCCATCTCCGCCGCTGTAGACACCACCGGCGACGGCAACAGTGGTGTTGATGACCGCATCAGCCTCCTCCCCAACGACCTCCTGCGCGCCGTCATCTCCCGCCTCCCCACCAAGGATGGCGCGTGCACTGCCATGCTCTCCTCCCGCTAGCGCTGCCTCTAGCGCTTCAGCCCTCTCGTCCTTGTCGACACCCACCTCCTCCGGCAGGGAGGTGTCGGGCCTCGCCCGCGCACGCGTGCGCCGCCTCGTGCGTCGTCAACAACACCGTCTCCCAGTCCTGGAGGCGCACCCGGGTCCCTTCGCCTTCGTCAGCCTCTCTTGCAGCTTCATTGATGACGACGCGCAACGTGGCGTGGCCGCGCGATGGTTCGACCTCCTTGTCGCCAAGGGCATCGAGTTTCTCGTGTTCGTCAACCTCCCTACCTACTTCCCGGCGTGTCCCTCCCCACCACGCTCTTCAACTACTCTTCATTCCGCTGCCTCTACATCGGCTCATGGGGGCTCCCCGACATTGCCTCCATCCCTCTCCCTACGCCACTGCCTTCCCCAACCTATTGGAGCTCGTCCTCGGGTATGTGGTCATGGTTGAAGGCGACCTCCCCTTGCTTCTTGCCACGAGCCCTGCTCTAGAGACCCTCGCCGTGTTCGATATCCTGAATACGGTGCAGGCGCGCCTCTCCAACGGCAGCCTACGAAGCATGTTCGCCTCGAGCAGCTATTCCTAACATGGCATGGTGGGAGGAAAGGAGAGGAGGGGAAAGAGAGAAGGTGATGATGTGGCATTCTGGTATGTGGGTCCCATAGGGATGCAAGTGGGTAGTCCCGCTACCGGCATAAAGATCTGCTTGCTAGTTGATTTATCACATGGTAGTATAAAATTTAGAAGAAAAAATAAACTAGAAGTGAGATAAGCGGGCTAAAAAAACCCGCTTGTCCGTCCCGCCAACAAGTTCAAAACCACCAAAGAATCTAAAATGAACGGTTTTGTAAGTTGAATGATGTCATATATTTAATTTTACGGTAAGTGTACGATAACAAGTTGAGTGACCTTTGGTGTACTCTTTTTTTTTCTCTGTAAACACGGACGTCCAACTCTGGTCCAACGCTGTGAAAAGCCTGACCTCACCTTGTTGGACTTGGACATGCATGCAGATGTTGTGGGTAATCAGTGGGTGTATTTGGTCCGCCTTGTGCTGTCGTCGTCGACCTACCCTACCCCGTGGAGTGGAGGCGTGTGGATGATTCGTCCTCGTCGCCGTCGTCGTGGCGACGTGGGCAACCGACGCCGCCTCCCGGCTCCCACGGTCCCACCCGCGGCATGCGGTGGCGTGTCGTGGCCGCACATCCATATCCATGTCATCCTCATCCTCTGCCCCTTGTTCATCCCCCATCATCCGCCCATGTCCCTGATTGATTGAAATTCATTGGAAAGGGACATCCTCCTCCATATCCACCACAACCTGAACCTGGTAAGCAACCAACCATTTTCCTCTATTACTTTACTTCAAATGCGCGCCAATCCCTTTCTTGTTTGTTTAAACCTCTCCACCGCCGCCTCCTCCTTTCTTCCCCTGCCCGGACATCGCCGGGTCGTCTACGCCGCCGGCCGCTTCCTCACCTTCCACGGTTCGCTCCTCGCTCCCCCACAACCCCTTCTCTCTCCTACACCCCCCCCCCCTCCTCTCCTCTGGATTCAGATTCATTTGCTCCTCTTTTTTTCTTTCTTTTCTTGTTTATTTCCCTCCACTGCGTAAAAAGGACACACCCTTTTTGCTTTCTTTTTTGATTTTATAAAGAAAATAAGGAAAGAAAAGCAAGGAGTTCCTCTATTTTTTGGTTTGCTTCAGCTTACCAATCCAATATTCATCGCCTGTTTGTTCAAGTGATTCACAGCCGCTCAAATTTATGTCAGGTGCACGTCGATTTTCATTGCGGTGGCAGTGGTCCAGATTGGGGAACCTCCCAGCCAAATTCATTTCTTGGTTTATTCTCATCTGAGGTCTTCAGTCAAGTCCCTAAGGGCTATTCTTAATAAGCTACAAGAAGAAGCAAGCAACAGATCATCATTCAACGGATATTTCAGTTATATGATGGTTGAGTTGTCAACGGCAAATTGGCTGCGATTCATGTTGAAATAAAATTCTGTGCTGTCCAATCTTCATATTTATCTTACCAGTCGTCAGTCATCAGAGCTTAGGAAAAAAAAAATCAAAGACAGGGCTTTCATTTTCCTACGGTAAGTAAAGTGCAATATTTATTTATTTATTTTATCTGTTTATTAAGGTATACATGGTGTTCAAGATTGTAATGAAAATTCATATGTTTACTTGTTTCTCATCTTCCAATCAAGACAGTGGAAGATCCTGCCTGACCTACCACTGTAGCATCATGAACTGCATTGCATTGGCATTTCTCTTCTGCACATTCATTACTCTGCTTCGTCCTGCAATTAGTGCTAATGGTTATCATTCTGGCATTTCTAAATACACCGTGTGGTGCATACTGTCTGCAGACTGCAGCTGAAAAGCCGATCGATCAATTAGTTACTTTACCAAAAGTTTGTACTAACAGTTTTTCTTACAGACTCGCCTTTACAAAGCAGACGCTGTCAACATGGAAACATACACTACGGATGAAGCGCTTGAATTCATGGGGTTTGGGAAATTCCAACTACTTGTGCTTGCATATGCAGGCATGGGTTGGGTCGTAGAGTCCATGGAAATTATGCTATTGTCATTTGTTGGGCCACTGGTGCGGGAGGAATGGAACATTTCTGCTGAAAATGAGAGTCTGCTCTCAAGTGTAGTGTTTGCTGGTATGCTAATAGGAGCTTCTGGTTGGGGTTTTGTGTCTGACAAATATGGAAGAAGGTGATGATTGACTCTATGCAAGCTTACATGTTTCAGTTTTCTGGTACAATTAGGAGCTTTAACCACTTCAAATCTGCTGTTTTGAATTTGATTTACATTTCCCTGATCTCTAGCTGTTCAACTCTTGAATATGTGTCCTTGTTTCGATCTCTCTGTTACATAACTGATAACTCCGATACAAACCTATATCATAGGTTAGTATTTGCATTAGTGTAAAGCCTCTGAATTCTGGAAGCCTAAGTTGTGTTTTTATAAGAATTTATCAATGAACTCAAACTTCAAAGGAAAGTTGAGGCTACAAAAGAGCCTCCACTGTACATCCATTCTAATTATGTACTTGTTTTATTTCCTCCTTTACGATCATGGATGATATAAAGCATTATGTATCTTATTTCAGGATTTGCTTACTATTTTCAACCCTGTTTGCCAGTGGAATGGGTTTTCTAAGTGCTTTCTCTCCTAATTATTCATGCTTGCTGGCTCTACGTTTTCTCGTTGGCATAGGAGTGGGTGGTGCACATGTGTTTACATCTTGGTTTTTGGAGTTTGTTCCTGCACAAAATCGTGGCACTTGGATGGTTATTTTTTCCTGTTTCTGGACTATTGGCACCATCTTGGAGGCTTCACTTGCATGGGTATGGCACCCTTTGTTGTCCTTTGTGGCTTATAGCTTTCACCTTTTCATGCTAAACTTGTTTGTCTACTGAAGGTGCATTCTGTATGTTAAGGAAAGGATAAGTAAAAACCACAAATAATGCATGTATTTGGTTTCAAGAACATAGTCTAGGCTGATTTCTGAAACCAGTGCCACATGAAAAATCAAAATGCTGCATCAAATGGAGAATGATGTCTGTTTGTTCAGGTTATGCGTGTGGACTATTTGTGTGAGCACGTTAATCATTTTCGTACTTTTGTTGCAGTATCTGTATGACTAATAACTATTTTGTACTCTCTGATATCATACTTCTACCTTCTTATTTCAACTCTGAATTATCTAATTCAACGCAAAAAAAAACCTGATTTCTTAACAAATGAAAACCAAAACAGAAGATGTTCGATTGAGCAACGGAGTGATAGGTTTTTGATTTTGTAGTTCTTATTTTATTTTTCATAAGCATATATTTTAAGAAATTATATTTAATAATATCCCTTTTGCAGGTTGTTATATCAGTATTGAGTTGGAGGTGGTTGCTAGCATTGACTGCACTTCCATGCTCTCTCTTGATTCCATTCTTTGGAACTACACCTGAGTCACCGCGCTATTTATGTGGGCAAAATAGAACATCTGATGCAATGCTTGTCCTGGAGAGAATTGCTATAACAAACCAAGCAGCTCTTCCTCCTGGAGTTCTCATATACCATCAGGAAGCAAAAGTTGACCACAGTGATCTTACTTCTGAGAAAGAAGATCTCCTCCCAGTCAGCGAGAAGGAATGCACATTTGACAATGCCATGAGCTTCAAATATGGTGGTGGCATTGCTGCATTGCTCAGGCTATTGTCACGCAAATTGCTAAGATCAACTCTTCTTCTTTGGTTTGCTTTCTTCGCAAATTCATTTGCTTATTATGGGCTAGTATTGTTGACCGCACAACTAAGCGATGCAAATAGAAGCTGCACATCTGGGCAAACAAATGTAGTGCCACAGAAAGATGTTAACCTTTACAAAGATACATTCATTACTAGTTTAGCAGGTATCGTACCTTAATTCTGTTTCTTCACATAACATGACTGGCTACAGTACATTCCACTAGCTCATCGCTCTACTACTCTTAACAGAGGTTCCTGGCCTGATTTTATCTGCTGTTCTTGTTGATTGGTTTGGCCGAAAAGCTTCGATGTGGTTCATGTTATTCACATGCTGTGCTTTCATCGGACCACTTGTGCTTCAGCAGAATGAGCTGTTGACAACTGTCCTTCTATTTGGTGCCCGCGCCGTTGCCATGGGTAGCTTCACAGTTTTATGTTTATATGCCCCAGAGGTTTGTATCAACTTGTTATGACATATAGTTAATGTGTCTTTATTGGTCGCTAGGTTACATAGTCTCTGCTTTATTAATCTGTAGAAAATATCACCCAGTAGGCAGCTAATCCATATAGCCAATGTATTTTGGCTTGTAATTTTGAATATTCAATCCTCAATATTTTCCTTCTATTATGTTGGCATGATCTCGGCCGGCAATGCTGGCAGGCAAAAAGAGAAATGAAAATGTTCTAGGTGTAGGTAGTCACTATTACAAAATTAAGACACATTGTTTTTGTAAAATCACTCGTGTGAACACTGAACACAAACGCCATTCCATTATAACTGACTTCAGTGGAGTTCTGCCAGGTCCCTGTTTCTGGTCCATCTCAGTGACCAAAATCGATACCAATCGTGCTATGCGATCTGTTTATATTCATTTTTTAGCTAAACTAATTTGTCAAAACTCTAGCTGATAACCCGGAGTATTATGAGTTATGAGAAAGATGCATCGTCTTTCAACATGTGTATTACACAATTTTTTTTCTCCTTCCAGCAGAGCTTATGTACCATGATCTAATTCCATTTCCTTACTTTTAGGTTTATCCAACATCTGCGCGCTCAACCGGTGTTGGCATCGCTACCGCTATTGGCAGAATCGGTGGGGTTGTTTGCCCTCTTGTCGCCGTTGGCATGTTGAGAAGCTGCCACCAGATGGAAGCCATCCTTGTTTTTGAGCTGGTTTTATTCCTTGCTGGAGTTGCTTGCTTTCTCTTCCCTATTGAGACTAAAGGGCGTGGAATGGATTGATGTTCATGCTGCACTTCTTTTTTAAAGGAAGTTGGGATTTAGATGGGCATGTAGATGATTACTATTCATCAGATTTATCATTGGGGGTGTACATATCATTATACATGTAGATTTTTATAGTGGATATTAAGTTGTAAAGTTCCTCAAATATGTGGACTTTGCAAACTTGGGCATTTTATTTTTGGTGTACCCACTCCAGGCTGATAAGCAGGCCGGACTGTAAAATGGATTATGTAAACATCATTTCTTGTATAAGCATCTAAGAATGCTTTATTGATGTTTATAAGCAGGAGCATTCCAATATTTTGGGGCCCTTGGGCGTCACATAAATAAGATCCTATGCAAAAAAGTTGAATTTATCACCAAAGCTTAAATAATTCAGAGACTAAAAATTAATTGAAATGATTATGTCTATGAGAAAAGAGACAATTACCTACACTGAGTGGAATCAACACTGTAAGATATTTATAGATATGCATTGGAGTTTAATTAGCTGATGGATGATGTGTGTTGTGATCTTCATCTTTTATTAGTCACCCACAAATCCTATTGTAAATTTTAGAATCAATTGCCGTAAACATAAATATGCAATCCCACTATAGAATAACTTGTTATATGCGGCGAATAGAAGGCATTCAGTAGCCAAGTAGTAGTAACAACTAACAAGCACTATTGACTATTGTACTATTGAGTGGTAAGCCCTTGATTTTTCTAAAACAGAAAGCTGAACTTGGTACTCTCTTTACTGAGACCAACATTCAACAGCAAATTAAACACGCTGAGATCCCAATTTGGACAAGAGAATAGATAACTATAGACTATATAATATATATATATATATATATATATATATATATGGTGAGGATTGCATAGAGATGTAGCTGTAGTAAATTGTGGCCAAGATTCTATACAATAACTACTTTCCATATATGGATTGAGACCCTTTGCACCCACATGTCAGTGAGCACATGTACAAGCTGTAGTGCAAAGAACCTCTATATTTCATATATTAACGCTCGACTCCTATAAGTTACTGAGCATCAGGCTTTGGATATGAAGCAGCTTAGTCATCTCTGCACTGTTAAAAGTAAGTCCCGGTAAGAGTTTGTGAAATCCTCAGCCAAGATACTGTCAGCAATAGATGCACACAGGGTCTATGTTGATCCAGGAGATCAACAAGAAACAGGGAACCTTCAAAACAAACGGAAATTCGATCACTAACATGTACGAAAATATGGCGGTACCTTCTTAAGTACCATAAAATCGCTCTAGCAGTTTTACATCAAATGAAAAAAAAAAGATTGGGAGATATACCTCAGGTGGCAGATTTGAACTCAGGTTAATTACTGGAGCTCACTGTTAGCATCACCAGTGAGAGAAGGAAAGGGGGGGATGATGCTCTTCAGACCCAATTCCTTCCTACACGTTGGAGACAAGGTGTTTCCGGTGCGTAGGGGAGACACCCTCTTCTTGTTAGGTGACGCAATCCTCAAGCTGGCGGTGCAAGAGGAATCCCCTTGCTGCAGCAGCATATCTGATGCTTCATTCCCAAGAAGCATTTGTGTGTAGCTCCCAAAAGGAGATAGCAAAACATCTGTTCTCGTGGGAGAATGTAGGTGGGAAGAAGTTCTTGTTGATGATGTAAGTGAGCTCTTGGGGCATTCAGATGGGAATAGGGCAAAAGCTCTGGAAAGAACACAGCAACAAAATATGTATGTTATGGTATTTTGGAAGGGAGTCAGTGAGAATCATGATAAAATGTCTACAATTTGTACACAAACCTGCGAGAATCCATTGAAGGTGTTGTGAATAGGTTCTCCGTGGATCGAACACCCCAGATTTCACATAATGCATGATATTTGTCCATCTCAGACTGTTCTTCCTTGGGATGATCCTTCATTTTTCGGTCTGCTCGCTCAATTTCCTTGGTTTCAAACCGTTCAATTCCTTCAAAGGCATTAAGGCATTAAAATTGGTAAAAACGGACAACTAAAAAGGCAATAAAGGCAGAGCAAAATGTAGCATATTTTCACATAAAACATGGTTACAGCAGCAAAATAATTGACGATCCATTTTAAAATTTACGTCTAGGATAAAATTTTACTTTGATTTACTTTATTTGAAACTGATATTTATCATAATTCAATCAATGTGAGATGCTGCAACTATGAAAAATACTCTAGCAACCTAATATGATTGATCTGGAAATTCAGGGGCGTAAGACCTCAGGCATGCCTTAGTAGAGAATGAGGATAAGACAATGCCACCTGCCAAGTTATGGCAATCTCAATGTTCCACGGTCTTTGGGTGAAGAACTTCCCAACAGAAAGTTAACCATACGGCCCATGATATTGCTCATTTTGATCATAGTACTTTAATCTAGTTGGATGGGGATTTCACATGAACAGACATTCTTGAGATGGTATAACCTTTTGCAATTTGACCATACAAAGATCCTAGGAAAGCGATGTCATTTTTACAGTATGGAACTAGCAGCTAATAAATTTACTCCTTTTGACCTAAACCCATGCGGTGGAATAAAACATTGCAAGCAAAGAGCTTATAGAAAAATGCAGTGTACATTAAATTGAGTGACTTATGAATTGCTCAATTGCACCTTCCTAAGAAAATTATCAAGGAAAAGTCAAACTCACCTTTTCTTACTCCAAAAGAATTCTTACAATTCTCACATCGGCAACTCATGGAGCACCCCACACCACTCTAGATATAAAATATGTATCAGATGATAGTCAGTATGTTAAACCGATGAAAGGCAATAAAGTTATCAATGGCCCTGTTTAGGGGAGCTTAAAATTCTGAGAAGCAGCTGGTAAGAATCTGAAGAAGCTGGGAAATCCAGTTTCTAGCTTCTAGTTCATTTTATGGTTTCTACAACTATGGGTTCTTAGGATATGAGTGAAAATCTAGACTATTTGGAGGAGCTTATGGCAGCTGTTACTTCTAGAAGAATCTCCCGCTACAAGAAGCTCTCCCAAACAGGCCCAATATAAGACTGGTACAAGGATTGGAACCTGAAAGCATTCACAGTATTTCTTCACACAATATGATCTCTTGCAATTGCAACCTCTTTTATGACGAGATGAAGCAGGAGTTGCATTAGAGTCTTCCTATGCCATGAAAAAGAACGTTATGAGCAATAATGACAGAAAAGAAAAGCAAAAGGAATGTGCTCTTACCCCAAACTCCAGACCAGGCCCACAAGTGCGAATTACTTTTGGAGCAAAAGCTAGTGGATTACGAGATTCAATCCGATTGCGAGTAGATAAAACTGTTTCCTCATGACTATGATCATTAAAACACCCTCGGCAGGAGCAAGATTCTGAACAGTACACTTTGGAAGCAAAACATTCGCAGTAACTGCAAAGGTATTAGCAAGGATGCAAGGTTATTACTTTAAATATAACCATCTAGCAACCATTACTTGCAAACATCCAGAATGAGGTACTGTAAATGATAATATTCAAAACCAAGTCAATGTTATAACGGCTTTAATAATTAAGTTAGAAGCTACATACAATTCAAGCATAATATGCATGTATTTTGGTCCTAAAACCAGACTTCAGCTGGGATCATCATTTGTGGTTAAACATACCTTGGAATAACCCAAGAATTACAGTATTGTAATTTGATACAGTTCCCTATGACCTTTCTATGGGGATATTATAAGAGAATGCACATAAAAAATAACAGTTAACTGCAAGGAACCTTACAGTTTCAAGCATTTTGACTTCTTACAGCTGCAACGTTTGCACGAGTCCACATTGTCATTTTGACATTTCTGCCTGCAAAATTCGACATGATTTTATGATTGGCAGAGTAATCATTTAATTAGACATATATACCTAGAATACCTTTTTCTCTTGGGATTTTCTTGACCAGAATTACCAGCACTCGTAGGCATCGTTGCCTGAGAAGAGTAGTCGCCTTGATTATGTGTGTTCATTTCACTGGTATTGGGAGCCAGCTGATTGACAGGAACAACAGTACTAATCTCAGTATTATGTTCAGATATTGAAAGAGTGGAATTAACAGTGCATGTCATGTTATATGGTACCATTTCTTCTGTCATTCGGACCAAATGCAAATCAACATTAGGTAGTGCACAGACAGGGGATCCCACAAGCTTCGAGTAGTTATCATCAGGTATACTTCTATGCCTAGTAGCACAGGTTGAAGCACCAAGATTTGAGACACTCTGCACACCCATAGTAGGATCCCTTACCTTGTCATTGAAGAGACTGCGCCTATGCAAACCACGTAGATGCTGTGATACAGCCTGCCAGATCAAAACAAGTTGTATTTTAGTACTAAATAATACTTGATTTGGATTAATGCAAGATAAAATAATATGAGACAAGACTGGAAAATTTGTGATAAAAAATAAAATAGTTCTGACAATATTTCTTTTTTAAAAAAGTTGACTATAAAACATAGAAAGGGGCACCAGACAGGTCAAATTAAAATTTCCTTAATCACAAAAAAAAATTGTCTTGCTGATTCCATTGCATTACATAAGTAAACAATTAAAATTTTGATACCATAATTTCTAGCCAGTCAACAAGACAGTCAGACTGAAAATTTAAATTTGATATTGACAAATACTATATCACATTGAGAAATGAAACAAACAAAGAATCATTTATTTCTATGAAGAAGTATACAACTATAATGCAATGGTAGGTAGCTCAGAAAAGTATATAGATGATATTAAGATGCCTACGCTGGGGTTCATTGCCATGTAATCGCTGGGCACTTCAAGTGAGTCAGAGAAGTGATGATCTGGAATCAATTGACTTTCTCTAGGGCAAGGTAGAATTCCAGAGACATGATTTGTTGCGACCTCTTTCCCTCGAGAGGTACAATAAGCATGAATGTTATCTACAGCACTCTGAGAATAACAGTCAGCTGATCCCTGAAACAGCTTTCTTCTTGAATTCTCCAAATTTGCTTCAACAATTGGCAAGAAAGATTTACCAGGCATGGCATCACCATTTTTTGGTGTCTCCAGTAATAGTTCTGCTGTCTCAAATCTCAGATCTGACTCTGGCACAACACTACTATCATATTGAGTACCCAAGTAATCCCAATCACATGCTGTTATTTCATCGTTATGTGTTTTAGCCAGATCTCTTTTCTGAACATTCATTCCAGAAGTCAATTGCTTCATTTTGTCTAGGCATCTTTGATCAAAGCATGATAGTTTTGCATGTTTCTGGGCTGTTTCATGATCTGTTTTGCCAGCGATGCCGTGTCTCTTGTCACTTCCCAAGGTATCACTACTAAGCTGGATGCGCTGAGCCAAATTAGTTGGCAAAATTGATGCATTATCAGGAGAATCATGATAAGCTTGGCTGAGGGAACGATCTATACTGCAATTTTTTGAAGCAATTGTCATGGGTCCAGACTGTTTTATACAACTTGATCTTCCTATTTGAGTCATGTGACAATAAGGAGACAAGCCGTCTTGACAAGGTTTTGCAGAAGTATTCCTAGTAAATATATAGTAAGCATACATTAAGCCAAAATGAGTAAACTTACAGAAAGTCAGAAATCAGTTAATATAAGACTAAGGTTACCAAATTGAAGTCTTGGATCCCTTTTGTGAATTAACTTCTGGCGGGGTGAAGATTGAAGGAATATGAACCAAATCTGATGACTTGATCATCTGTAAATTTGGTACAGCATCTAGAGGTTGAGATGATGATATAGGGGAGAGAGATTTGACGAAATTAAGAAAAGGAGAGTCCTGCAGGTGTAAAATCTAATTAGAAACATATATAACTACCACATAACATGTAGTATCTTTTAATCAGAGTATGCAACAATTGTTTGCTCACTTAACAAATAAATTGCAAGAAGCATCACATTACAGATCAAATGTTAGAAAAATGATGTTGTCCTAACAGCAATAGATGTGAACACATTTCCAAGAGAAACCATTTATGCAATCTGAGGGGACATCAAACGGCTTTAAGCTTTTCCAATTTTAATTGTGAAGAATGAACAGCATAAAGGGGATAACATTTTGTGGGAAAGCAATGAAATTTGAAGATCAAGTGAATGCAATCCATTACTGATCGGCATCAAAACACAAATATTCCATTATGCTCCAGCGAGAGAATCTCCCACGAAAGTAGACAGAGGCAAGAGGATCCGTTAATCCTGAATTTCTGACAGAGGGAATGATTTTTAGATCAGTCAGTTATTACTAACCAAAAATGCCTCTCTTCAGACACCAACAATCATTAAAAGAGACACATTTTCCCAATCAATAAAAAAGTTGTGGCCAACAAAACACATAGAAGCGCACTTGGCATCCAGAAAAGAGATAGAGAAACGGAAATTCGATCCACAAATATCTGGCAGCACATCATCAATCTTGCATATGAAAACATGCATAACTACATAAAAAATAACGAACAAAAGAATTCACAGAAATGAATGATCTATTCCAAAATTCCCAAAGGTGGTAAATTTGAGAACCTCTGCAAGCACCCAATCCACGTCCATGAACGCACATGATTCAAACTCATAGATCAAAACCAGAGATTGAATCGACAAGGGCAGATCTTTAGAACAACAGGAGAAGCAAATCAGGCGCAAGAGTGAGTGAGCGAGCGAGTGACAGAGAGAGGTAGGTGACGACGGGGAGAGACGAGCTGGAGGGTCGACCTTGGAGGCACCGTCGGCGCCGGCGGGGGGCGGCGTGTCAGACGGTTCCATCATCAGTCTCCTCCTCCTCCGGCGGCGGTGGCGCGAGCGATCATTGGCGCCGGGGTCCGCATCGGGGAAGCATTTCCAGTCCAGGCAGTCGTGCGGCGGCGGCGGCGGAGAGGAGGGCGTGAATGGTGGGGGAGGCGTTGGCTTGGCGCTCTCAACGGCGGAGACGGCGAGGGTTTTTAAAACGGGAGGGCAGCGCGTTGGGCGGGAGATAGCGAGGAACGGATTATTTTTTCTGTTGAGAGGACATGGGCCGGCCGGACCTGCTGGGTAGTGGGCTGGCCCGCAAGGACTGGGGCCCATATTAGGACTACTACTCCGTTACTTTGTGTTTAGTTTCTTTCAAACTTCCAAAAATTCCGCCACATCAAATGTTTGGACACATGCATGAAGTATTAAATATAGACGAAAAAAACCAATTGCACAGTTTGCATGTAAATTGCGAGACGAATCTTTTGAACCTAAATACGCCATGATTTGACAATGTCGTGCTACAGTAAACATTTGCTAATGACGAATTAATTAGACTTAATTGATTCGTCTCGCAGTTTACATAATTTGTTTTGTTATTAGTCTATATTTAATACTTCAAATGTGTGTCATGTATGCTTCAAAAATTTTGCACCTAAACAACTAAACACGACCTTTACTAGTACATGGGAAAACGTACTATAATGGTTGAATCCAATTCACATCCCTCGATCACAAAACCTTTATACTTGTATGTCTTTCCCTCAACTTTCTTTGGTGATTTCTGTCATGTGGCATCCACGGGTAGCTTCATTGTCAAAGAAATTAGAAAAAAAAATTGAAGCAGGTGTTAGCCCCCACTCTTCTACTCCTTTATCTATTTCTTTTCCCTTTATTTTCCAAACAACAACAAGCTCTGCACCACGCTCACTGAGATCTCCTATGTGCTCGTTCGCTAGTTGCCATCCCTAACGTCTCCCCACCCACCCCCTTCCTTTGTGGTGCACCTCTTCTTTTAATGCCCGCACCACCGTCAACTCTCTCCTCTCCCTTGCAATAGAATTGTCCAGCCGACATTTCTTTCATGCAGCCGACAACGATAGTGACTTCACACGTGGTTGCCACGACTGTCATCAAGGCAACAGTAGATGGAGCCAACTAGCTAGCATAACACTTCTTGTTGTAGGTGTTCTTGTTCTTCTCGATTTTGTCTTGCACATGAGAATCAAGTTGAACTGAAGCCAAAAATCACAGTGAGTGGAGCTCGAGGTGGCCACCGGCCACCATTACCTTCAAATTGACCTCCGCCTCTAGCACCTTCCTTATTTGTCTCCGACCCCATTACCTTCAAATCGACCTCCGCCTCTAGCGCCTTCCTTATTTGTCTCCGACCCCAGCCATTGCCTTAAAATTGAGCTTAGACTCTAGCACCCTTCCCGATCTACCATGAAGAGGCGAGCCCAGATAGTTCCATCTTTCGCCGCCAGCACCCTCCTTGACCATACCACTTCCTCCCTTGTGATGTTAGCATCGTACTCGCCCCGACAAATCTTGATGGACATCCTCCCTATCTCTACCGCTCATTAGAGGTCACCTCCTCTCCTAGGGTTAACTTTGGCCTAAAGCCCAGGCCGGTTAGAGATCCATCACTGCCCTCACCCTTTCCCTCCCATATTGGCCTTGGTAGTCCAATTATGAGGCGTCCATTAGAAAAAGATGGAGGCATCGCTGCGGACGCATCGTTTTCGCATCACAGCTAAGCTCCACCGCCTCCGCTCCACATTCTTTCTTGGTGATGCATCGACGTCTGATTCAGTGACGGACTGACCGTGAGTTTGCGATAGGCTGGTACGCTACTTCGCATCACGTCTCTAGTGTCTGGTCTCCCTCCTCCGACAAGACACTATCAGCGGCTAGGGTTAAGGGCCGGTGAGATCTTCTAATTTTCAATTTGTCGTCTCATATTCTCATTTGCATCTACTTAGTCCCGAAATTAAAAATTAGGTTAGGATTTTGTTTTGGCATTTAATATACTTAGTAATTTTTAATGTACTTAGTAATTTTAGGTGTTGGAATGTTTCCTTAAAATCATCTTTTCTATGCTTAGAAAAGGAACAGAATAAAACTGATAATCATATACGGTGCATTTCTGGTGATAATCCTGAGGATGTATATGTCAATGTGATGGCTGCTACGTGTAGCATTGAGAATAGTATCTTGAATAACATTGATATCTAAACTATCCTTAATGAATTTGCTTAAAAAAATGTTTGAAGAAGTTCTTTTATAAGCGGAATTGAATATTTACAGTCTTCTAACTAAGATATTCATACTATTTTGTTTATGCGGTTATCTTAGTTGTCTATTATACTATCAACATTGTTTATCGAAAATAATATACCATATTACTATTTGCAACTAGTTGATTTATTATTTATTATTTTAGTAACGTTTACTCTTCTCACCTTTATAATGCGTGTTTATAAAATATATATTACAACTAAAAAACTATTTAGCCTTAAAGGGCAGCTAAATGTGCATAAAGTTATGTTTGGGGTACATGAGTACTTGATAAAAAAATCTTATCGGAGTCCTCTTTTAACGGATCCAGTCTCACCGCCAAATTAAATTTCGTCTGGACATGAAAACATAATTATCTGTTCATCGGGATATGAAAACATAATTATCTTGCTGCCATGGTCTTGGATTGTCAATACCTTATGAAAAAATTTTATGTGTCGGATTTATGATATATTTATAAAAATGAAACCTATGGAACGACAGCTTTTTATATTTCTATAATTTTAATTTTAGGGTTCACACTTTTACATTCAATTCCCTATAATTTTTATATTTATATTTGAGTCCCTTGTAATTTTACATTGAGATTCTTAAGTTGGTTTGCTAAAAAAAATAAAAAAAGAATGCAGAATGCAGAAGGCAGAAAGGTGCTTAAAATAGAAAAGAAAAGGTGGCACCATAAAAACAAGAAAAGAGCAAAACAGAAAAAAAAAAGAAAGCAAAAAACGAAGGAATGAAAGAGAAATTTTATTTGCTATATTTTAGATTACTTTCATATATTGGAGTTGTGCTTGTGTTGTTTCTAGTGCTATCTTGTGAAACGTTTGTGTCTACGCTCGCGTCTCTAATACATTGTAGCGTAGGACCAGCTCGGTACTTAACTTTAAACGGTTATTCAACTTTGCATTCTCTGATTTCAGCATTTGCTATTCCTTTGCAACATACTTAAACCTACCCAAAGCTCTACAGATTTGATTGCAACCATAGAATAAGTGTTTGCTAAGGCATCGATAGCAAAATACCAACAACATTGGAATTCATCTGACTCTTTCTTCCTTACTCTCTCCCTATTCTAATGTACATAAAAGGTACAAAAGAGACTCTTCTAATTCAGCTCATGTTTTGGTGTGTACAAGTGAGGAAGAGATGGGTATTTATAGGCCAAGAGGTGCCTTGGGAATGTGAGATGCTAAGCATCCAAAGGAGCATCTTCACTCTTGAGCTGCCATCTGTCCTCTCTATAATGATTTCTGCCGGTACAAACGGTCACAACTGCCTTGGATAGTCGGTAACTACCGACCTGTGAAAATTAAGGCCGATCGGAGCAGTAGGGTTCGGCCGAACCCTTGCTGGCCCATTTGGCCCTGGTTTTTCTTCTGGCACTCTGGTGGAGAATCCCTGTAACGCCCCGATTTTAGTTTGGGATTAAAAATCATGAAACAATGTATTTCTAGAAATTAAATAAAAGTTAAAGCAATTTAATCAAGCGAAATCATTGACGGAATTAAAAATTTCCATTAAAAATCATGGCCAGAAATATTTTGTAATATTCTTTGTGCCCTAATATACTCTCCGGATTTTTCCGTGAATTTTCGGAGCTTAAGAAGTAATTTTAACAAAGTTCATTTAACCAATTAAATAAAAAGGAAACCAATTAAAATTCCTCTTCTCCCTTTGGGCCGCTTTCGGCCCAATCCCCTCCTTCCTCTTTTCCCCTCCGGCCAGGCTGCCTCCCTCCCCTCTCCTCTTTGGGCTGCTCGGCCCGCTTGCTCCCCTCTCCCTCTGAAGTTCACATAACCCCTCCAACGGCCTCCCCTCTCACCTTTGGCCGATAGGTGGGACCCGCGACCCCACCTATTAGGGCCATCCCTAACCTCTAGCCAGCCTCCATGGCCTCCCTACCTCCCCACGTCGCCACCTCCTCCGACTCCCTCGCGCCCTCTCCCGTGCGGGCCCGATGCTGCCCTACTTCCTCCACTCTCCTCCCCAACTTCCCACGCAAGAATCGGCTCCAGTTTGCCCCCGCCACGTGCCCACGTCACCACCCCACCTCGCCGGCCGTTGCCGCCCATCCAGGCCACGATTTCCCCTCCTAGAGCTATAAAAACACTCCCCGCACCTCCCTCTCTCTTTTTCCCCAATTCCCCCAAGCTGCCATGCCCTCTAGCCGCTCCCTCGCCACAAGCCTGAGCTCCGCCGCCCGCCGGCGTCCTCCAGTCGCGTAACACCACCGCTCCCGCTGCCGCCGCACTACGGCGCCACCACCACCAGCTTAACCGCCGCGCGGGCGAGCTCGGCCACCGCTCCATTTCCCCAATTCCCTGCCGAAACCCCGCCGCCACCACTAACCCGAGTCGCGGATCTCTCCTCGGCATCTAGTCGCTCCCCGCCGGCGAGACAGGCCTCGCCCAGTCGTGCTGCTACCTCCTACCGCGCTGCCACACCTCGCCGCACACCGGCCTTTGCTCGGTTTCCCCAAATTGCCACCGCAACTACCATACCACCACGAACTCGAGGTCATCACCGTGACTGTCGCCTCTGGCCACCTCTTGCCGCCGTTTCCGACCTCCTCGTGCTGCGCCGTCGGCTTCGCAAGGGTGCGAAGATCCTCGGTCACCACCTCCTCGCCGCCGGGAACCGCCGTAACCGTCTCCCATCGCTCCCCGGTGAGTCCCGTCGCAAACGCCGTGCTCGGCCAGCGTTCCCTACCGTGCCGCGACGCCTCTCCCTCCCATAATCCTTCCTTTTTGCTCCCCAGGTCCTGCCGGTCCTCGGCGGCAGCTCCGCCGCGGTTGGGAGTCGCCGGAGCACCGTCCTAGGTTTCCAGCGCCGAGCCTTTCCGGCCGTTGCCCCTCATCGGCGCCACTTGGTGAGCTCCCCTCCCCTTTCCTGCCGCCCTCTAAAGCTCTCCCGCACGTGCCGCCGCGCCAATGGTTGTTGCCGGCGACCATCGGGCCGAGCGCCGTGTAACATACTGAAAATTTGCTATATGCATCATGCCGATTCTTATGTTTTTAATATCTTCTTAAACCTAAGAAATTATAATTAGAGGGACCTCCTAAAACTAACATGCATAAAACCCCTCTTTGGTATTTAAAATCTTTCATGGTTTTATTCTAAAAATTGATCTTGTTAAATCGAGGTATTCTCTTTTATTTGATTTTGCATCTTAAACCTTCTTTCGACCAAAATTTCCTTTATTCAAATTTAGTTTGAAAATCCTTTTTACCTTTATGAATTATGGTCCAAGAAATCCTCCAACACTACCTTTGAACCTAAACCAAAGTAATTCCAATTTTCTTGGAATTAATTGTTAACCCATCCCTTTGATCTTAAACCTATCCTTGATTATCGATCCAAATTTCCTATTAGCCTCATATACTTCTCTAGAATCCATGCCATATATTTTGGGCTAAAATTCTATGTACTCTACTCCCTCCGTATTCCCTCCACATACTCAAAAATATTCAAATCTAGAGCCATATTATTTATGGTGTTGAATATTTTGAATTCCTATTTGAGTGCATTAAATAAACTCCATCTCTAAGATATTGCACTCAAATAAACCAGAAAATATCTCTTCTGGAAATTATATTTGGATATAATTTCCTTTCAAAACTTCTTATTCAAATATTCTCCGAATTCGAATCCCTCGTAAAACTTAGCCATCCAAATTTCCTTTGAATCAATTATTCAAACCTATATGAAAATTAGACTTTCTTTCTCTTTAAAGTGGGCCGAATTTTCCTTCTCTTCCTCTCACTCCCACTGCCCAATTCGGCCCACAATCCAGCCGCCTCCCTCCTCCCAGTGCGCGTGTTCCACACGCGCACGCCGCCGCAAACCTCGCCGCTAAGGAAGCAGACCGGCGCCGTCTTCTCCTCCTCCAAGTTACCGTCGCCGTGACCAAATCGACGACCGCCTCTACAAACGCCTCTCCGCGACCTATAAATAGTCGGCAAGGTCGCTCTATGTTCTCCCACATCCGAACTTGAAGCTCTCCTCTCTCTCTCCTGCCATGGCTGGCCATCACCCACCACCGGCCGATCTCCTCCTCCGTTGATCCTCTTTCTATTTCCTTGCGCCATAGCGTTTGCCTCGACGAGGAGAATCCATTTTTCCCCTTTCCCCTCTCCCTCCACCTTGAGATAAACCGCCACCACCACCTTCTCTTATCGCCGGAGTTGAGCTCCTGCCGTCGCCGTTCCGGCCTCCTCCCCTAACTCCTTCGCTGGGCGACCACTTCCCCGGGTGCGTGTCGCTCGGGAACACACTTGGCCGCCGCTGTTGAGGCCGTTCCACCATCGGAGCACCGGCGTCCCTTCTCTCTCTCTCTCTCTCTCTCTCTCTGCTGTTCACGGGAAGAAGAGAAGGAAGAAGAAGACGAGAGGAAGAAGAAGGAGAAAAGAAAAAAAAATAAAGAGCTACTGACAGGTGGGCCCCTACAGTACTATTTCGCAATTTCTAGATTTAATTCAAAAATCCAATCTTTAGAAGCCCATATCTCCTAAACCGTAAATCCGATTCCAGTGAAACTTGGACCTAAATTCATCTAAATTCAAACCCTACATTTTGATACCAAATTTGCTATTTTAATATTTTATTTGAATTTTCTTAATTTATTCAAATAACATTTGAATAAATATTTGATTTAATCTTATAATTGAATTTACAATTTAGACTTATATTTGCTTTCCGAATATTTACGTTTATTCCCAAAATACCCTTTAGCCACTAAAAAGCCGCCGGTTGGAACTTTACGCCTTCCATGGGGACGTTCGCGTTTACTATTCCCGACGTCGGACCGTTGGTTGTAAAGCCCGGCAAAACCAAACCTAAGGTCGAAGTGCTGCTTCTGGCACCCCACGCCTTTATGCGTACAGTGGTCGGAGCTTCACTATTCCCTCGACCTCCACAGCACGCCGCACGGTTAGCTCTCGGGCTCTGTGTGATCCTAGCCACTCTGCCGCCACTTACGGTTGTCAGAGTAACACTTCCGTCCCACTAAACCCACACAAACCTCCTATCCCTCTAGCCGTTATGCTGTCTGTTGACATCGGCTAGAGAAGATACCAATTCTAGTCGTTATACTGTCCAACTCTAGCAACGACTAGCAAACACCCAAATCCCAGCCGATATTCATCCTACCTCGATATTGGCTGCTTAATCAAATGAAACCCCAGCCAGCCTGCTATCCAAACTCCATACCAACCATTTACCCTTCTACTACCCATAGCCTATGCATGAAATACGAGCCGATATGCTATCCTATTTTAGCATCGACTCGAGAACAACTAAATCCTAGCCATTCTTCTACCAAAGCCCAACCTCGACCAATGCTAGCCACATATCCACTTAACCAGTTAGATTATTCGGTATATCCCCTATTCTCCAAGAAACCAAAAACCACACATAAAATATAAGTGACAATTGTTACTTAATCCCCTCTAGCCTCCAACCCTTTAGAACCTACACATATTAATCCAATAATCCCTATACCCTTTAAAGGAGATAGATATTATACCCTGAACCTTAGCTCTCTTAGCCGCTTATTGATCTTTTGTCATTTTATGGCTTTTATTGAATTTGGCTCTTCCTCTTCTTCAATAGAGTTTATTTTATTTTGGATGGCAACCTGTGGTATTTCAAGGATCGGATAATCAGGTTGCCTACCTTAGATTTATTCGCGTTGGAGCAAGGCAAGTTATTATTCCTCCCCTTTGAGCATAAATAACATATATTCTTATATATCTATTCTATGCATTAGTCATTCATAATTTTGAATGCATAACCTGAACATATAGCAAACCAGATATGCTAGCTTTGCTTAGTTAGTCTGCATAAAAATATAATGAACTTAGATTGGGATAGTACGTAGGAATTGGTTGATTTCCGGGTGGCTAGTATTGTCTCAGTCGATATAGTTATTACCAAGTACTTATGTCAAACGAACGAGTACGACCGCAATTCTAGAATGGGGACAGACCTTGCAAAGTAGGTTATCTAGCAAAGGTGGTACCTCTGTACAGTGGTTCTTATTTAAGTCCTCGCGCAGGAGGCAAACTTATGCCGCGAAGGGCATATGCCGCGAAGGGCATATGCCGCGAAGGGCATATGCCGCGAAGGGCAAATATAACATTTACCGAGGCACAGGTAAATGATTTGTTGAGCTCAAGTGTGTGTGTATTGTAAAAACCTGGTTGAGATGACGGGGGTCTCTCAACCAGTTCTCTCTCTAAAAACCTCGAGAACGCCAGAACTCCTCTCGCTGCTGATAACGTTATGTTCAGAGCGCATGAAGATGAGAGTTCATGGAACAGGTGCCACTGATGTTAGTAACCGAAAAGCTTTGCCATGACTAAGCTAATGAATATTGGCATGTCATGGATTGCGGGTAAAGCGTACATTTACTGTAGTAAAATAAACATGAATCTATTCGAATAGCCGTGCTCACGGAATTGAGTATCGGGATTTGTATGGTACTTTGGTTAGAAACCTAATTCAAGATTTTACTAAATGTTGCGGCATTTAAAACATCAGGCTTTCTATTTCTATATTCTCTGCCTTCTGCAAGTAATCGTAATCCTACTCAAATATTACCTTTTCATACATTCATTATTGAATATAATAGCTTGCTGAGTACATTGTACTCACCCTTACTTCAACCCCCTTTTTCCAGAGATAAATTGAAGTTCTTGCCGAAGCCAGGAGTTCAATCATATAAGTTTGTCTTATTTCAACCTAGTTCTCAAATATAGATTAATTAGATGGTTTAAGTCTATAGCAAAACCTTAGAGTTGAGTCACACTATAGCTTCTGCTGTAATAGTTAGCCACAATCTTGTAAATTCCCCTATTATTTTATGTAATAACATCTCCTTTGGAGCCTTGTTCAAATGTACGCAATGAAGATCCAGATTGTTGAAGCTGTATCAATCTACTGATCCAGGGCTTGATACAGTTAAACATGTCGGTTTCCGAATCATTAGTTTTGGGAGCCGACACGCTGCCGCCTCCCGGACGGCCGGCCGGCCGGCTGCCGCCACTCCCGTTCACCTGTGGCCGCCTGATCCCCGTCGGGGCGATCTGGGTCGTCCACGTGGCCCTCCCCGTGCAGCCCGACATCGGTGCCCCCGTGGCGCCACGTTGGCGCCACCTCATCCTCCCCGTCCGCCGTGGCCACCACGTGGCTGCCACGTGGTGCGCCCGCGGGGCAGTGCACGCGTGGACCGGTCCACCGTGCACCCGTCTCCCTTGAGGCACCGACAGGTGGGGCCCACTTGACGGTGCCACCTATCCCTCGTATGATGTCATAAATCATTATTAATTGCGCAATAAATCAATGGTAATTATAGAAATTCATTTAAATAGCTTAAAACTTTAAAATTCATAACTAATTCATACGAACTCCGAATTGGGCCATTTAACTTGTAAAATTCATCTAAAATCGAGCTCTACATGTTTGTTTACTTTCCATATATACTGTTTACTTGGTTTTTATTATAGTTTTCCTCGTTTTGTGTGCTAGCGCGTAGATTCCGCCGTTTTGGAAGATCGCGATCGCGAGGAAAAGTGTTCAGAAGATTCTTTTGAAGAAGCAAGGCAAGTCACACATTCCCCTTGAACATGTTGATCTCAATTTATAAATGTTTTATCGTTGGGGCAATTGCAAATAAATATGCATGTTTTGCTAATTACATGGGAATAGGGTGTACCTATCTGCTCGCTTGTGCCATATTTACTTGATATCTGTCCTTTGTCAACCTTGGGTAATAAATCAACTAGCTTGTGTTACTTATGTTGACCTAGCTACAACTACATGCTTAGCCATGCTTAATTACCACTAGCTCAATTGATGGGATAATTACAGTATTAGACCTCTTAGTATCCAGACGAGCTGCGTGATCGGAACATCCGGCCATGTTTCTTTGGTCATAATTATCCTACTAAAATGCAACATAATGGTGGGCTGTGGGTGCATGGTTTTGCTAGTCGCACCCATGGTAGGACCGGTTCGCGGGAAACCCTGGAAGACATACCACGCTTGCCACAAGCGGGAATGGGTAAACTACTTGATCTGTAGTATAGCTTTCCTCTAGCTGACATTTCCAAGCTAGGGTGGGTGTGATGGAGTATGGATGGGCCCTACGACAGCCTTTGCTGCTTCCGAATTCACCGTGGCATGAGGGGGGGCTGCCCGCTGCCTGCTGGGGGCGGAGGTGAAACCTGCGGTGTGATGTGATTGGTCAGATGGGGTTATATGAAGGATCTTGTCACAATCACTCGACATGGTGACATGTCATGCATGGCACGGTGACATGAGTGGATTGTGTCTTATGGGTACAGTTGTGCACCTCTAGCTAGAGTAAAACTATTCGAATAGCCGTGCCCGCGGTTATGGGCGATCGACCAGATTCACCGTGATTAGTCTCACCCTAATAAATCGACCCAATGCACTGTGTAGTTCAGGTGGGATGGTTGGGCCTGTTCAACGTGGCATAGCGTTGATCAGTGAAGATCGAATATTACCTTAATTAATCAATTGTTTTACTATTTTCCAACTGTAAATGCTTTACAACCACCTTTATGCAAATAGCCACAAACCTTCCTTGAGTCCCCTTGCGCGCCTGCATCAATGGTGTGGCTTGTTAAGTACGGTGGTTATACTTAGCCTTGATGTTATTCCTCATTTTCAAAAGTGTAGTACTTCTGAGCTGAAGACGAAGTTAGAGGACCAAGGCACATACCCAGTTGAGTTTTGCCTGTGGAGTAGAGCTGAAGCCCCGCTAGGATCGCCTTTTTCGCTTCTATCGTTCTCTTTCGATGTGAGTACTAAGTGCCTCTTTTGTAAGTATTTACACTTTATTTATGTTTGGAACTATATATTACTTGTCGTTTTGTGTACCTGACTGGTCCTGGATAGGGATTTAATACACAAAATAATCTAGAAATTTGGGGCTAAATTTCTGGGCGTGACAATCCCTCAGCCATATATATGGTGATGGGTGAATGGGCCCATTTGAATATGTTTCGTTAGGTTTGTGTGCCCAAAACTCCATAGGCTTGAATATGAGTTTGATTCTCCTCCTACTTTATGTATATTTCTTCTCAACTTTAGTAGTTTGTCACCAGCGTCCAAATATACACCAACTCTCGTGGAATTTGTTAGAAATAAATCCTACCACTATGTTGGATGTTTTACATTTTCATATTAATGAAGGTATTGACGGTGTAAATTTGGTATTTAATTCAGTAGTGGCATATAATGGACATGCTTGCCAGTCAAAGTTACAAATCTATTTCTCATTTGTTACAACTTGCTTGCAATACTAAAAGTCAAATAGAGGAGGACATGGAAAAACAACACGCTATGTTTTTGCCTCCTTTTACTAACCATTTGCTGGAAGTGCATAATCATGAAAAGGAGGAGAGAGACATGATTGAACCATCATTCCCTTTATTCACACTCAAATTCGATGCACCTCCATCATCTGAAGAAATCACCAAAGGTAAACTAGATGATGCTAAAACTAATCAAGGTGAATGTGTTGTTAATAAATTGAATTTGTCCACTTTTCATGCTATAGTAGGGCAACCATTAATGAAACCAATTGTTGAGATTACTTTGTCACAAGTTGATTTTTTTTTGTTGTTCCTTGTGATAAAGAAGAGTTGCGTGATACTGCTTCACTTATACTCATTCCACAATTAGTGAATGAACATGATATTCCTATTGTTAATCCTTTATGTGTTGATTTTAAGCATGTTGTTCACATGTCTAATGAAGTTAAGGAACGCAAAGTATTGTCTTCTTTAAATACTTTGGGCTATGTTCAGTTTGATGATATTTGTGAGCTAGTAAATAATTTGAAGAAGAAATTATTGGCTAAGTTTGAATTGCCATGTCCAACTAATACTATATTTTATATCTTTGGCAAACATAATAATAGAGGATTATATTTGGTGCACATAATTTATATATATTTAGATTTGGAACCTCTTATAATTACGTGAGAAAATAGCAAGCTAGAGAGTAGTATCATTGCTAATCATGTTATCTCGAGTTTGTGTTGTTTTGATTTGAAGCATCAGGTCGGTTTTAAGGAAGAGGAGAGACCGGATCACTCTTTGTGGTCACCATGCACCTAGATAGTTGCGCCATATGAGTACTCGGCTTCTGAAGAAGGGAGCAAATGAGTAGCAAGCGAAACAATCAAATGTGGCATCGATGTTCTTTGTTGTGCGTCTATATCGGGTACATTTGTTTCATTGGATATTAATACTATTTGCTAAATAACTGATGATATTACATGACGAAAGTTTGTTGCATTTATTTTCATGTAGGCACTTCTATGTGCAAGACCATGCACTACACGATAAGCACCATATGGAAAAACTGAGGACGGTTTTCTATGAAGAAGAGGAGGATGATGTGACCTGGCTACCATAGGTATAACAATTGTTCACTTCAGGGATCAAGAAGAATACATCAAGATCAAGCCGTCCAAGTGATGGAATCAAATTCGGCTACCTGCTACCGTGCTGACTTCAAACGACTGTCAAATATGTATACAAGCTCTGTTTTGGTTCTGTGAGTATTTGATGGATAGCTCTTATCGGAGTCCTCTTTCCAACGGATCTAGCCTCATCGCCAAATTCCATCTCAGTCATCCGCAATCAAAGAAACATGGTGCTAAAATACCTGTCGTGGGCCTTTGGATTTGTAACTTCATTTAGGACCCCGGCCCATGTGGGGTGAGCCCCATCCTGGTGGAGCACGACCCTAGGGACCCTTTGGTCGTCCCCTCATCTCCTTAAATAGCCATGTATCCCTTCAGAGTGTCTAGAGTTTGTTTAGATTAAAGTTTAGCCATTGCTACTTTACCTTGTACTTACACGTGTCGGCTAGACCACCTAATTACTCATCTTTGAAACCCCAACTTATCGTGCGTATTTAATTTCTATTTGCAATATCAAATTGCTTTTATCTTGTTCTTGCTTGTTTCTTTGATTTGCTAGCGACAATAAGGTTGATTTGCACCAACAAGATCTAACAACACACACAGAGAGGTGTATCGATCACTAGGGCGCAACACAACAACGTCTTGTACAGTTGTAGTCAGGTTGTAAATGTTTCTCCAAAATTGTTGTTATCATCAACTCATCGAAAGATCGGGCCAATCAAAACTATGAGCTTAATTAGTGGTGCTCATGGTTGATCAAGCCAGGGCCACACAAGGAGGCCCCGCCATCTCTAGCACATGCTCCTCGTGCAGCTCCTCACCGTATGCATCGAGGTTGCAAGTGTGACATCCTGGCCCAATTAGGATTTGGAATGTGTGGCCTGTGAGAGCAGTGTGCGCATGTTTAGTACCACCTTGCTAGTTTAGCAATGGTGAAACCAGCTCATAAGGCCTTTTCCATCTAACCATACCACTCCCGGGTTAACCCTTGTACACGGAGCGAGGATGAAAGTGTAAGTGGGGTGGTATGTTTAAGTATGCCCGCTCATCGGATGGGCTGATATAAACTACTCTGGATTGAGTTAGGGTGATAATTTGTCTGGATTGAAAAATTGGGAGTGTTTGCTAGTTTTAGGGATGTAATAATTCACAATACTACAATTAATTTGGATTTTTTTCCCTATGCATAGTTAGGGAGTAGCTAAAGCTGAAATTGGTCTCTTTAATCCCCAACAAATTTACGCGGAACAATTTAATCCTTAGCGGTGTGTGTCTGTCACTCGGCAGTAAGAAATACTTCTTCTATCCTAGTTTGATCATCACCTAAGGTTTTTAAGGTCTTCTCAAAATGATCATCCTCTAACAAGTGCCTTTTTATTTATTTGTGTAAAAACTAAATGAATATCGAATGCATTGCATGCAACAAACCATGATTAATTCCTATTGGTACAACTACATGCAATATTTAAAACTTGATACAATCCACGGGATACGAAACAACGTAGTACCTTAATCGTGAGAATTAATTACAGATTAATAAAGATTTAGTTATCCTTGGTCTCTGGGCTTTTTAGTGATGATCAAAATGAGATGAAGAAAGCACACTGAGTTCGTTAGGAGGAGATGGGAACAAATCTCCTGCGCATGGAAAATAGAATGGTCCATAAGTACGTGATTAATTAAGTATTAGCTAATTATTTTTTCAAAAATGGATCAATATGATTTTTAAAGCAACTTTCTTATAGAAACTTTTTGCAAAAAACACACCGTTTAACATTTTGAAAAGCGTGCACGCGGAACATGAGGGAGAGAAGTTCGGAACACAGGATGCCGAACACAGCCTTAGTGTCTTAGGGCATGTATAATGGAGACCACTACTACTAGCGGTCTTGATATGCCATGCAGGAAAAGACAACTTAAAGACCACAACTCCCACAACGGAAACCACCCTTGAGTGATTTTTGTGTTTCAACCCTTAGTTTTTTTTTGCATGTCAGCCCATGTAAAACTTTATTATTAAATCAATTGATTTTTTTTTATAATTTGGACCCCGTGATAACAAAAAGAAACACAAATATACCCCTAACCTCATGTCGGTCCCACTTGTCATCCCCTATCTATCTCATTTTCCTCCCCTCCCCACTCCTTTTCCCTACCGAACCGAAGCCACCAGACACCACCAACACGGTGACGCCTCCACTCTCACTCCGCTCACCGTCGGCAGCAGTGTCGCCTCTACCATCCCCGGCTGCATAGATCATGGTGTCAAGCTCCGTGGCAGAGGGCTACGAGCTCGAGCTCTCTCCCCTCTCCGCTGGCGAGTTGGAGATCTCTTCCCTCTCCTTGCGACGGTTGGGGAGCGCGATGGCGACCAGATAGCGAGCTCGCCGGGTCCGGCCGTGACCTCGGCTAGCGATGAGCTCGCTGGATCCGGACGCTGGCGACTCGCCAGACTCCTCGGAGGCATTGGCGGCAATCGGCGACGACCTTGGTAGTGGCAGCAGCGCACGACGATGAGCTTCGAGGATGTGATCTCTTTCCGGCGGCGCAAAGGAGCTTGTCGGCTGCTGGTATGTGGTAAGCCCCCCTCCCCCTCCTACTCCTCCGAGCTACTTGCTGAGGCCCACTGATTCACCCAACCTGTGACGTAGACCGTGGCTCCGAGCTAAGGCGCGGTTGGGTTACTGTGACGTCTACAGGGCACGCAACTTCCCCTTGAGCCACCCCACTGCGCGGGCACATCTGCCCACCCGCCTAGCTGGAGGCCTGAGACCACCGTCCACGGTGGAGCGTTGTACATGGCCTCATCGGACGCCATTTGGACGGAAATGAATTTTAACGGTGTCAGGAATTATAATTTTCAAATTAAGAAAAGAGGCCGACGAAATGCCCAAAATGCCCTCCCGCTGCCCCCGGGCCGGGCGGCCGCCCCAACTCTACTGGTCGTCTGGTCTACTCCGTCTCTCCTCTTCTCTCCTCTTTTCCGATCTGCTCAGCAGCCGGAGCCACCCAGGCACGGCCGCCCTCCTCCCCTCGCGCTCGCCGCCGCCGGCGAGGCGCCAACCCCCTCCCCCCTCCCCTACCCCCCCGGAGGGCACGGTGTTCGACGCCCTCCTCCTCCTCCTCCCCTTCTGCGCGGCCCACGCACCGCCGGCGACGAGCAGGGTTTGGAGGGTGTGACGCGGTGCCCCCGCCCCCCCCCCCCTCCTCCTCCCCCTCCCCGTCTCGCTTCCGAGTCGAATTGAAGGTAATCCTCCTCCTCTCGTAGCAATCCCTCCGCCGCCGCCGTAGTAGACTCACTCGGAGATCCATCTTTGACTCGTGCCGATTCCTTTCCCCTCCTATTGATGCAAATTAGTTTGCAGTTTGTTTCGAACAAAAAAAGGCAATAGAGAATTTATCAAATTTAGCTGAATTCCCCCATGCCCCAGCGTTAGCTCCGCCTCTTGATTTCCCATATATCATTATCTTGTGCTTGCGAGCGTGTTCCCTGCAACGCCAATTGTGAAATTGTGCATTTCGAGTAAGGGAATTCTCGGTTTTGGGGGATTGTTTGTAGTTATCAGGCGGCGGCCGGCTGGAGAGATGGCGTCGAGTACCAGCGACATCCCCGAGGGGAGGGAGAAGCTGAAGAGGTCAGGGAGTCTGGGGAGCAGCGACACGGCGTACGTGCGCGCCGACAAGATCGATCTCACCAGCCTAGATATCCAGCTCGAGAAGCAGCTTACCAAGACCTGGGGCAAGGCCAATCTCAAGGCGCATGGCCCCAAGGAGGACTGGGAGATCGACCTCGCTAAGCTCGAGATCCGGTACGTCATTGCTCAGGGGACCTACGGCACCGTGTATCGCGGCACGTATGATGGCCAAGATGTTGCAGGTATCTGTCACTCTTATCAGACTCTTTTTTTTGTTACAATGTATTGGAAAATGTGAATGGACGTTGCTCGATTAGGAGCTGATGTTTTCAATAGATGGTCTTATGGTCTCTTGTGTATGATGGTCAGTGACATATGCAATTCTAGCTATTACTATTAATTGATATAAATCTTGTAGTTGTAGGTAATATGACACATATGTTGAAACAAGTAGACACAAGCTTGTTTCATACAAGGTATAGGATGGTTATTATTACTTACCTATCTAGTATGAGCTGAACATTTTGTGTTTGTTTGTATCGAACACATTTATTTCATATGCTTGATTTAACTTTATTACACAGGCACACCGGATACCTCAATTGTGTAGCAAAAGCTTTACCTAACAGTCGCTCCTGTGCTTTCTTTTACCTGATTTAGAAGTCTCTTGTTAATTGTTCATGCTTCATTTAATGCATCATGTTTTGGTGTCTAATTTGGTTGGGCTGGTCCATATTAGTTGGGAGAAAAATAGGATTATAGCTTTGTAAAACTGATGTTTCCGACCTACCATGAGTTCAATATAACCACCGCAAGTTTTCTCTTTCATTCAATTTGAATACTTGCACGAATAAAGACATTTTATGAAATGCCAATAATTGATAGAGCTCCATGTAGAGTCTATCCATGATAACTTTATAGCTAAGTTGCAGTACAATGTTTTGTTGGATTTGGGTTGAGAAATGCAGCAAACCAGAAACTATGGACTGGAGTATGATATATGGTTATCATAGATGCAAGAATTTAGATGCGCACATTCTTGTCCATGAACAATTTTAATATATTGTTCTCTTCCATGAGTACTTTGCTTTCCTTGCTGGCATTCTGGATATTCTCTAAGCAGTGTCGACTGTTATTATGCCTTCAACAGCGACCTGAAATCAGGCCTGCTGTGTTTCCTCACCAAAAAGAGCAGATCATGGTGATGATTCTCTGGTCCATGCAATCTATTCAATAAAATCAAAACCATGCACATTTGAAGTTATTATATAACTGTAAGAAATAGTATAATCCTTATTTATTAAACGAATCGTAAGCTTTTTATTAGTCGCAATGCTGAAGCAAACCCCTTCATTTAGTTTTCCACTAATATTTCTACCAGTTGATATTCTCTGTCTTCTTTGAAATTGGGTAATTTTCAAAAGCTGAAAAACATTGTTTTAACATTCTCAATAGTAATTTTTTTACTACAGCAAATAAGATTTTCCTCCAATCTCTGAAGCTTAATATTCCCTACTCCATGCTGCATGTCTTTTTGCTGGATAAAGATTTGCTTTCTTTGACCCCATGGTTGTCAAGTCAAGGTACCCCTGAACCGACTTATCAACTTGGTCGACTGGTCCACGACTTGGTTGTGCACAAACAGGGAATGCACTATATAGTCTTTACTACTATTATACTGTACTAAGCACTATATATAGTATAAACTATGGACTATGGAGTAGCCAGCAAAACATAAGCCAACAAGAAACAAAATTAAAGTATTAAACAC